TCTCACACTACTCCCATGTTCCTTTCCCTATGTACAAGAAAATCATCATCAACAACAAATAATAATAATTAATAATTTTAAAGCTGCTGTGTGCTCATCCAGCAATGGGGCATGGAAAGCGTTCAAGCAAATGTGTATGTGTACATGCCATTTTGAGTGCATGTACTTCTTCCATTTTTTAAATATTTACATTTTTGAAGTTATACAAGCTGCCACAGGGTGGGGAGAAAGCAAATATGCAGAGAGCATGCCAAGAGTCATGGCACTGCCCCAGTTGGAGGCGAAAGCAACAGAACAATTTTAATTACTTATGGCATGTGCCTTAAAACTTTTTCACCTCTGTGAAGGATCAGAGAATGTTATGCTGTTCATTAATGCCCACAAACCCTCCAAGGCACTCTGATAGAAAGTGCTAATCAGAGGCAAAGTATTTATTACAAATTCACATGTTTATAGCTGTGTCTCACTTAATTTTTAAAACATTAAACAAGGCTTAGGCTTAGTACTCAAAGCTAGTCATTATCACGTTTCTCAGAATGTGTGAAATTGCCTTAAGGGCATAACAGCTATCAAAGCAACCCGTAATTAAACTACACTTATGGCACAATTGAGAATGCACGGGACTAAATTAATATTAAAAAGTGGCTACTGCATGATGCAACAAGCATCCCAGAAACAATAAATTATGAGGCAAATACAGACAAAAGTACTTGTGTTAAGCTGGCTGTATGTGGAAAGTAGTTTGGGAAAGGGGTTTGACAGGGACTTTAACTCAGGCTATGTGCAGATTAGCACATTGAAACACAGCTAAATCATTCCCCCAATTTCATTTGTTGTTTCTTTATGTTGCTTTTCACACCACAGAGAGGGAAAGGGTGTTTTCACCAGATACTCATCAACTAGTCTGTTTCCCTGCACTGAACTCCAATTCACTGGTCACCCATGCATGCACAACAGCTGGATGAAATGTATACATCTCAGCTCAACTATGTCTTCAATTTCCTAATTGGATGGAAGCTCGCTTGAGGGAAAGCACATAAAACAGAACAGAGGCGCCAGCTTCTCCAGAAGATTGTGGTGCCCCCACACAGCGTCATACGATGTCCTGATGTTGTGCAAATTAAATCCTTTGAATATTGAGGGGGCCCAGCCCCCTAAAAAAAAAAATTCAGCGGGCTGAAAGTGCCTCGGCCCCTAGGAGTTGTCGCCTATGAAACAGGAGTATTTCTCAAGAAGATACAGGATACCTATGGATTTTGGCTAAGGCCATGCATACAGAACTTCAAACAGCAGTAGTTGGAGCGTGGTTAAGACAGAATAAGTGGTAATGTGTACACAGTGTTTGTTAGCTGTGAACGTGGCAGCCTTAAGTGGGAATTCTGGATGGCTTTATTTTTCAGCCAGTCATCTATCTCTTTATTTTTCAAATTTTTGAATATAATTACTGTAGGTCAGGTACAGGGAATCTTTGCCTCTCCAGATGCTGCTGAACTACAGCTGCCATCATCCCTGGCCATTGGCTGATGGAAGTTGTTAAGATTCCTCACACTTGCTGCATAGCAACCTTCATTGCTCTGTCTCTCTCCTTGCCCCCATTTGATTACCTCATTTCCTCTTTTGGTAGGTTCCAACATTCCCAGGGGATTACATTTCTTCTAATTGAACAATCACAACACACACATGCCTTGTCATGAGATATTGTACAAATTCTCTGTCATTCTCAGGACACTCTCCCTCCTATTTTGTACCTATAATTGCTGTCAGCATCAATGCTAAAAATAGTGTGTGAACTGCTCAGCACACAGTATTTCTGAGCCACGTGAACACCATGATCTCAAGGGAGAAACTACCTTGGCCACAATCCAACAGAGTTCACTATCCTAGAGCTGAGATCAATAGTCTTAAGTGTGTTTAACTCTTTGTTGGACTGTGGCCCTTCTTTTGGGGGGGGCACAGCTATAAGCTTCCCTATGGCTATAATAAGCTATCTGGAAATTACAAAGTATATACTGTGTGAAAAAGAATTAAAGCTCATTTGAGCTTTCAGACATGTTACTTCATTTTAGAGTTAAAGGTAAAGGTAAAGGTACCCCTGCCCGTACGGGCCAGTCTTGCCAGACTCTAGGGTTGTGCGCCCATCTCACTCAAGAGGCCGGGGGCCAGCGCTGTCCGGAGACACTTCCGGGTCACGTGGCCAGCGTGACATCGCTGCTCTGGCGAGCCAGAGCCGCACACGGAACGCCGTTTACCTTCCCGCTTGTAAGCGGTCCCTATTTATCTACTTGCACCCGAGGGTGCTTTCGAACTGCTAGGTTGGCAGGTGCTGGGACCGAACAACGGGAGCGCACCCTGCCGCAGGGATTCGAACCGCTGACCTTTCGATCGGCAAGCCCTAGGCGCTGAGGCTTTTACCCACAGCGCCACCTGCGTCCCAACCATTTTAGAGTTAGGGCTGAGTAATTTTCAGTGCTTGTAACGGATACATATCATATTTAACCAAATTTATTATATTGATTATGCATACAGCCTTGTATGTATAACACACTTTTTGAGTGTGTTTCACAGAAGTTCTGAGAATGAAAAATGAACAGCTTCAACTGAAATAAACAGTAAATAGGGAATAGCTACAGACAAAATCATTCCAGGAGAAAATATGGAGAACTATTTTATTATACCCTGATCCATAACACAATTTCTTGTCATTAACCAGGGGGTGCCATCTTAAAAAAATATTGGGGGCCCTCAGGTAAGCCCCACCCCCCATAATCAATCACATTATACAACGCACACGCATGATTTGAGTGGCAATGCCCATCAACTTTGGGGGGCCCTGGCCCTCTCAAATATACTATTGGGGTGGTGAAGACCCCTCGGTCCCTAGGAGTTGGCTCCTATGCCATTAACAGAGACCTATGTTCAAATTTCTGAATAACCTTGGGCCATTCAGTATCACTTAGCTTAACCCACCTCACAGATCAAATGGGGAAGGCCCATGTATTCTGCCCTAAGCTCCTTGGAGCAAAGGTGGGATACTGATAAATTGATGTCAGTGTGATTTACTTCTATGTTAGGTACTTCATACTAAGAAATGTAAATGATTTCAATTCCTTCTAGATGACATAAGTTTTCAAGGTCTCCTAATGCTGAAAGTCTCGTGCCCAGACACAGAGGTGTTGGCTTCCACAAAGTAATTAACCATTAGGTGTGCATCCAAGAGGAATATACCACTTCCTGTCTCACACCTGTATGGCTAACAGGGAATTATGTGTTATTAGGTTATGTAACCCATGCCAACGTGCACAGAAACAATCTGCCTCACTTGAGTTCTCGTCTTAGGGATATTGTCACCATACTACATTAACAAGGGAGTTTACCTTTAACTAGCAAGTAGATACGTAACCGGAGTAGAAATGCAAAGGAAGTGTGGGTGGGTGGGTGCTGTAGGTAACTGCAACCCACAAATTGATGACAGAGGCATTTATTTATTTAATAGTTTTATATCCCACACCTTCCTCTAAAGGTGCCCAGGGCGGAAAATGTGTCAACACTAATACGGCTAGCACTTCTAAAAACAATTTAAAATACAGGGGTCAGCAAACTTTTTCAGCAGGGGGCTGGCCCACTGTCCCTCAGACCTTGTGGGGGGGCCAGACTATTTTTTTTGGGGGGGGTGAACGAATTTCTATGCCCCATAAATAACCCAGAGATGTATTTTAACTAAAAGCACATATTCTACTCATGTAAAAACACCAGGCAGGCCCCACAAATAACCCAGAGATGCTTTTTAAATACCGTAAAAGGACACATTCTGTTCATTTAAAAACATGCTGATTCCTGGACCATCCGCGGGCCAGATTTAGAAGGCGATTGGGCCAGATCCGGCCCCCGGGCCTTAGTTTGCCTACCCATGATTTAAAACAACCTTCCAAAAATTAGTTAAAAGACAACCTCTGAAAATCAGTTTAAAACTTCTGAAATATCCATGTGCTCATGGATGCAATCATGAGTTCAATATGTAGTGACTGACAAGGTTCCTGAGCCTCTCTCAAGCATGTTTTTAAACATTAAGAACCCACACAAAAAGATTGTAAATAAAAATAAATAACAAGAATGTAGCCTTGCTTTATTGTGTTCATTAAGGATTCAAAGTAGAGACCAGGTTTCTTTCCCTCGCATGGTGTTATATTGATATGTATAGCAAAGCTTAAGGACACTGCATTTTATTGCCCGTAACTGCAGCTGTGAATGTACCTGTACTTATGTTTTATGTATTGTGCACCTTGCATAAAAAAGTAAGAGTGAACCTCTGGCATTCAAAGCGTTCTGGCCATTGTTTATATTTTTATGCATCACCCATAAGTACGTACCTACGTTGAGTGGATACACCTATCTGATGAAGCCGGTTGTAGTCCACAAGTGCTTATGCCACAATGAATCTTTTATAAGTTTATACTCCCAGATTAGTGGGGAATTCAGAAGAACTTTATTCTGAGTGGGCATTTAGGGTTGTACTGTTCATCTTTAAGGAGCCACAAGACCCTCCTTGGCATAGCTGTCAAGTGTCCCTTATTTGAAGGGACAGTCCCTTATTCCAGCACCATGCCCCGCTGCTGTCCCTTATTGATGGATGTCCCTTAAATGATGCCCCTTAAATTTCAAAGGAAGCAGCTCCTCTCCCTCCCTCCCTGCCGGCCAGGGAGGAGGGAGGCTCCAACTGTGTTGCTTGGCTGTGTTGCTCACCCGGTAAGAAGTCTAAGAATGACTGGGGGGTGGAGCTTGCATGCCTTGTGTGTGGCTAGTTAATGCAAGCTGAGGGGGTTTTGAATGCTGGACGCCATTTTGTTGCACGTGCTGCTGCAAACTTTGCAGTGCAAAGCCAGGCCGGGGAGCCATCTTAAGTTGAGGCTGCATAGGCCTTGTGGTGCATGTGATTCAGATTCTATTCAGTTGAACCTCTGGTTACAAAGTTGGTTGGACAGTGTTCTCGAAGCTACCAGCATGAGTTTGACCAGACTGCAGGAGGACAGGAAGACTGGAGTGCCTGGAACAGGTGAGGCTGCAGGTCCCTTATTTTCAAGGCTGCTGGTCCCTTATTTTCAAATCTGTAAGTTGACAGCTATGCTCCTTGGTAACCTCTCAATATCTTGACTATTCAAGTAGATTTGTAAATACTGTCCAGGCATGATGGAACTTGGACAAGAGCCCTTTTAAAAAAGTAACACACACACTAAGAAATATAATTTCAAGTTATGGGCACTGAAAATGGGAAAAAGAACTGCATTTAGTACATTAAGTAGAGAACTTGCCAGAGGCAGCCTGTCCCACTATGCCACCTGAGGTAAAAGAGGAAAGTGCTGCCCCTGGTGCAGCCATATTTAGTTTCTAGGTTTATTTTTATTATTTATATTACATACATACATACATACATACATACATACATACATACATACATGGAGACTTATTTAAAGATCTCTCTGGAAGTCTTTCATCTGGTGGCAGGGGGCTCCCGCGACGGCACCCTTTGGATTCTGCCACGCTAGACAGCTGCCTCAGTCCATCTCATGGCCCTTGGAAACCACCTGCATTTCATAGCTCCGCAGCTCCAAAATGTGGGCCTGTTGTTGAAATAATAATAATAATAATAATAATAATAATAATAATAATAATAATAATAATTTATTTATACCCCGCCCATCTGGCTGAGTTTCCCCAGCCACTCTGGGCAGCTCCCAATCGAGTGTTAAAAACAATACAGCATTAAATATTAAAAACTTCCCTAAACAAGGCAGCCTTCAGATGTCTTTTAAAGATAGGATAGCTGCTTATTTCCTTCACATCTGAAGGGAGGGTGTTCCACAGGGTGGGCGCCACTACCGAGAAGGCCCTTTTTCTGGTTCCCTGTAACCTCACTTCTCGCAATGAGGGAACCACCAGAAGGCCCTTGGCGCTGGATCTCAGTGTCCGGGCTGAAAGATGGGGGTGGAGACACTCCTTCAGGTATACAGGAGCAAGAATACTGCTTCCTCCCAAAGACCTCAGCGGTGCACAGTGCTTTTTCTTTCCGGGGGTACTCAGTATGCAGTACCGACACCTTCTTCAGATATTAAAAGTGTGGCACTTAGGGTAACAACTTCATGGTGAGTGCCAGCACCTTTTTTTCTAAACAAGAAAGAAAAGAGCACTGGCGGCACATGGGTGCCAACTTAAATAAAGCAGGTAAGCCCCCCAGCCCACATACGGTAATTGATCACAAGACGCAGGACACCTGAACTACTTGAATGGCATTGCCCATCAATTAGAGTGGGGGAGCCCCATCAAATATTTTATTCATAATTATTCATAAAGGAATTTTATTCATAATTATTCATAAACGAAACAGCTTATAAGAAGTAAATAAGGATGCCAGAAACAGGATAAAGGAAGTCTTTTATTTGGTTGTTTATATTGTTGTATAGTATGCTTGTTGTTTGTTATGTTTGTCTGATGGGGGTGGATTTCTGTGTTGGGGGGTGGGGGTTTGTGTTATGTTGTAAATAAAATTTCCAATAAAATTTAAAAAATAATAATATTTTATGGGGCGGGCGCGAAGGGACCTCAGCCCCTACGAGTTGCTTCGTATGTCGGCGAGTTAGCACACTGATCAGGGAGGGAGACACCCTTGTGTCGGAAGGCTTTACCTATTTGCTTTTAAGACATCCAAACCCCTAATCTCCGCGTCAAGGCCGAGCAAACCCTCCCCCTTCCCGGACTCAATAAAGCATCTGAATCTCCACTTTGCTGGTTCTAGCAAACGCGAGGCTTTGCCTGCAAGGCTATAACGGGGGACTCTCTTAATCGGGGGAGGCCGGCAGAGCTCGCCTAGCTCTGGCGCGCCGCCGCTCCTCCGTTACCAGCGCAACAAGGCGTTCCATTCTGGAACCTTCCCGAAACAGGAGCGAGCAACTCGCGCCCTCATAGAGCAGCGGGAGGGAGGAGGAGGACAGGCAGAGGAACGTGCCTCCACTTCCATATATGGTCGCGGCCGGAAGACACTCCGTCACGCCGTCGGCTCGCAGCGTCTCTGCGGGCTCCCCGACGTCACGGCGCTGACGTGCTTCGCGAAGCGCCCTAGAAACCAAACAGTAAACAAGAGCCTTAGGAACTGGGGCAGAGGGCCGGAGTGGGAGTCGGAGAAACCCGCTGCGGCTGCGGAGGGCGGAGGCGGGGCGCGCGGGGCCGGGGTCAAGCGGAGTGCCTATCAATCGCTGTTCTTTTTTAAGCCCGGCTCGGAATTCCCTTTTGTTTTTTGCTTTGTCTCTTCCGTTCTTGGAACTTGCGGGGAGCTCGGGAAATGGCTTCGTGATGGCCCTCCCCACCCCCGGCTCTGGATCAAAGGGGCAAGGGATCTCCCGGCCACCTTCCTGTCACAATTTCAGCGCCTGGGTTTTGCTTACAAGCGCTTCCCAGCTGTAAGAGCAGGGCTGGCCCGAGAAACATCCTGGGCCACTGCTCTTCCCATGCTCCGTCTTCCGCCGAAAGGCTGCTTTGTTGGTCCGGCGAAGCATGAGCAACGAAGAATCTTGTGGCACCGGCTTAAAGATTAACATATTTATTATGGCGCAAGTTTTCATGGACCACAGTCCGCTTCGTATGAACTCTATGAACTGTAATCCTGAATTGGCAAGCATACATACAGGGTGGGGGATGTAGATAGAGGAGTGAGTTCAGAGGGAAATGAAATACAAATAGGACAGTGACGATTACCTGGAACCAACTATTTGTAACTATCTGTAGCTATTTTTGCTTTCAGGTGATCATTGCTATCTGTTCTTTGTGCGATTCCTGTTGCTACAAACCACTCATTAGAAAATGCTTTTCAGGCCTCCCCAGCTTATAAAGAAAATGAGAAGCTTCGAAATGCCCCATATGCCCCCACCATGAAAATCAACGTATCCATACGTTGGAGGCACTCATATGCCAGCAGTGAAACTTCTTATAAATAAGGCTATTTTGTGAGTGTGATAGGTGGTTGCCAACCCCAGACATCTTTCTTTGCTTTCAGGATCCACTCCATCTGCATACTGTGTAATAAACAATGCAATCCCACTTGTATACCACAAACCATTGTTGCTGTTTGCCTTGGACAGAATTCTGCAAGCTAACACTCCCTGTCAAGAACCGGACTATAGAAAGCTGTCGTCTCCCATTATTCAGCATCATATGCAAGCGAAACCTGATTTTAATGCAACTGCATCTGGATTTGTACCCATAGTACAGTTTCTCTCCCATGAGAAAAATTATATCCCTTTTTAGCCACCTAAAATGGCTATACTGTACCAACAAATATACTTGTAGATTTATGCTAAACTTGTCAAAAAGAATTATTTACTGATACATGCCTTCTAGAAAACAATGCTCATAAAAGATGAGCATACTTTTAAATCAATATTTTATTGTATGTATTATGTAATTATATTTTAAAACCTAACTAATAAACAATGCACCATTTTTATTGATCGGGTTGCTTATCTTGTTCCTCTTGTTTTTGAATTATTTTGTTTAAATGTTTTAGATAATTTCATATGTATATTTTTTGAAGAGCTGGCACTGTCCTGGAAACACTTAAAACACAGCATGAAATGTGTGAGATAAAATAAACAAATAATGGCTTTTTAAAAACCTCATGGGTTCCTTCTTTTTCATTGCTTAGTATGTTTAAGCTTAAGAGGAAATCCAGTAGGCGGAGGAGGAAGAGCCATTATACACAAAAACAGTCCCAAGAAAGATGGACAAATCTAGTAATTTTCTTTGCTTAGCAGATGCTGTTTTCTCTTATCCTTCACAATAGACAATAGGCATTTTGGAGATACCTTCAGCTTCCAATGTTTTAATTGGTCATTTATAAATTGATAGGTCTAACCCAGCTGCAATTATTGTTCCATGTCAAGTTCCTAAATTGTTTGAAATACTTCAAAAGCCATTCTTTCAAGCAAAATACACATTTAGCACGTTCGAGGAATGGAAATGTTGCTGTCAGAAAAGCAAAACCACATGATAATTCCATAATACATATGTCAGTGATGCTTGACTGGCCCTGCATCTCCAACAAGAGTTTGCACCCATAAGCTTTCTATACCAAAGCCTCATTAAATAGAATATTTTTTTCCTTTTCTTCCCCACACTACCTTTTTATTGCATGTATGGCTGCATATCCCATGGTGCAACTCTAAGCATGTTCATTCAGAAGTACATCCTCCTGTGTTAAATAGCATTTACTTCCTAGTAAGAGTGTTTAGGATTATAGCCTGATATGTAAAGTAAAAGGTGCAACAGTTAATTTGACAGGGTTCAATTAAGCATGCTCCTAAGTGAATGTGAATAGGATTATAACCCTGGGAAGACAAATCACAATGTAAGGCATCCTTTGAAATCTGTAAGGTCTCTGCACCAAAAGAATATAATTATAAAACTGGAAACAATTCAGTCTATCATGCACAGATACATTTGCAGTTATATTTAGAAAGCAGTATAATTGAGTATTACCCATAATAGTAATATTTCTTCTGAAATATTGAGATATGAGAGATATTAGACACAGTATAATACTGTATTGGGGAAATATCAGTAATGATTTCTAAATGAAGCTGCACATGGATTATTTGGATAATGCACTGTAAGGTTGATATCCCAAAGAATGTAGAAACTGTATTTTTAAAAATATTTTTATATAATTTATAAGGATATTCTTCATGGGATTTTCATAAGGTCATGTTTCATTTTAATAGATTTATTTGAATGGGAACTCTATTATGCCCTCATTTCTCATTGTTAAATTATATATGATTACACTATTTTCTTACATTTTGGGCCACTAAAAATATTGAAAAATATTATAATCTAGAAAATTAGCTTTTCAAGGTCCAAGATAAAATTCCATGACTGGAAAATGGCTTCCAGCTGTATTCAGCTTTTCTGTGTGATTTAGATAAGTGATGATTTTATTAACCAATGTTTGGACTGTGTAGTTATACTCTCAGAAGTAGAATAAACATGAATGCTACCGTAGTACCTTGAAGGGACAAAGGGTATGGTTATTGGATCAAAGCTAGATATGTTTCATTGATTTCCCTGCTTGCAATCCTTGTGACTCTGCTATGTTTCAGGGAAATATAGCAGAGTCACAAGGATTGCAAGCAGGAACATCAATGAAACATACCTAGCTTTGATCCAATAACCATACCCTTTGTCCCATGCAAAATACATAGCTACTTTTACAGGTTCACTTGAAAGAGTATTTCTATTCTCAATATAAAAATACCAAGATATGCAGTTATCCTTGATAGTCTGGACAGAATATTTCCCAGTGTTGCACATGTGTTATGGAGAAGTTGCAAAGAAATAAGCAGGTTCAAATGCTTAAGAGTACAAGGGGCCTGTGATTTTTAAATTATTATTATATATGATTATTGTAAAATACATATTATTCTCACTCAGCCCACAACCTCTGTTGCAATGATCATAGTTTATTAGATGCATCTGCTCTGAGGAGAGCATTTTTCCAACTTTCTCTCCCCAGGCCAGGAAAAGACTTGTTCTCAGTTCTACACAAATGTAGTTATCCAGATAACATCTCTTGTCATTTCTTCTGTATGCATCTATAATTTCTCACTCCCTGCCAGTTTGGAAGCAAAATTAACAATGGTTTTGTCATGTTACTTAGATGTAATCGTTGGTACTTTTAACTGGTATTCATTGGTATTTTGCTAGTGCTACAAATATTAATATCAGTCTACAGTATCAATATTTCCATCATACTATTTTTTAGCGCTTTCTCTCTAAAATATATTATTGGTACTCAGCTCTTTGTACAAACTAAGCATGTAGTCAGACCTTTAAAAGAGTTTTGCAGCACCACCAATTTCCACAGGCAAAGAGGTGAGTTTCTGAGTGTTCTTAGAAAGAGGATTTCTTTTTCGCTGTTGGAGAAACCGTCGCCTACCAGAACGGAAACAGCAGTTTTATCTGCACTCAAATATTACTTCTTTGGGCAAGGGGTTACCATGAGGAACCTTAAGCTTGGGGGGCAGATGCATCTCTCTGGGCCACTGGGTCCAGCCTTCAGGATGGTGCCCTACCCACCCCTCTCACCAGTTTACACCTGCCATTGGCTTTGCCCTCACCCTCCTCAAGTGCTTTTGCCTGACTAGAAAGTATTTTCTGAACTGTGATAATGCATCACGCTTGCGTGGATTGAGAGATGTGGGTGTAGATGTCTCTGACTTTTGCATAGCTGGAGTGCAGCCTGCTGTACAAGAATAAGAGTCCACCCACTGTTGCTCCATTCACTTTTGCCACTGCCTCCACCCTCCATTGGCATGCGGATCCCAGAGCAGGCTGCCCAGGAAGGAGTGCAGCCCTCAGGCTGAAAAAGGTTCCCCACCCTAATTGTTTTAATTTATTTATTTTATATTGAGATACCATTTAGTACCACAGCTTCTAAGCGGTGTAGAAAAGGGATACAGCATAAAATAAATGAAGATTAATTTTAAAAAGCTTGCTTGAAATACCTTCTGATTATTATTTTTTAAATCTTCACGAAGCACTGGAAGTTCCTCAGAAAAGTGAACCTGTCGGATATCAGCTGGGAGGTAGTTCCACAGAACTGGAGCCACAATCCTGAAGGCATAGTTCCTGGTGGTTATGTCAAGTGTCTTGAGTCATGGGAAATAACAGACTCCTTCCAAAACCTTAGCTATTGGGATATAAGGCATCAAGCAGTCCTTAAGATATCCTGCACACAAGTTGTTAAGGGCCTTGAAAATTTGTAGAACTTTTAACCTGGCCCAGTATACGGGTGCAAGCTTCCAGAATCTTTGATGTGTATACAAAATTATTTTCCCTATTCATTTTCAGGGACAGTTCTAAGCATATATCCCTCTGGAAATAATAGGGAAGCATCAGAGTTCCTGTACTACACAGAAAGCTCTCTTAGGCCAGAGACTATTTATCAAGAGACTAGATGTTCATCCATCCCAGTTGTTACTGAGTTCATTCCCTGGCACCCCCAAGTCCCGAGTGATGTGAAAGAGTCTCTGTCTAAGATTCTGGAGAGACGCTGTCTGATCCAACTTCTCTGACTAGCAGCAGCACTCCATAGTATTAGGGAGAGACTTTTGTCACATCACTTGCAACCAAATATTTCAAGCTGCAGATGCCATGGAATTGTTTGATTGTAGAGTACATGTACATTGACTTTCTTCACATAGCATGTGCTCTATCTACTGAGCTCTATGGTGTCCCCTCATAAAGGTAATATCAGAGCAAATTATATGTGACTTTCATTTAATATTTTTGTAGTTAGGGTACCAGATTTCATTTTGCATTTGATTTGTCAACTATTAGCATGCTGTTAGATCTAGCTCTACATACATGTTACTGGGTCTGTCGTGTTCCCTTAATCTTTTTCAAGTATCTCTTCTAGAGAATATGCATTATATCACTAAAAACACATTTTCTAGAGCCTTAATGTGTACCATCAGCTCTCAACTTTAAACTCTTTTAGATGTGGGATGAAACTTACTCATCTTTACATCATGTGAGACCCAATTTATCTTACTTGTGATACAATACACAGCAAACTCTATGTACACCTGTTATGTTATGTAATGCAGTACATATGTATGTGAGTAGTAATTGTTACAACTGTGTGTACAGCAGTTTCTCTCCATGCCAAGAGCAGAGTTGTAGTCACGATATCAGGCTAGGAAGTACCAGCTGATACAATGGGTTAGCATTACAGTTGAAGGTGTGGATTGTGCTGTCTGCCATATCAGCCTCTTTAAACAGGAAGCTATGAGCCCAGTCCTTTGTTGGGCTTGGGGTAAATTCAGTGAGCATGCCTCACATCCACAGGGATCATGTGTCTGAAATCAATGTTGGCCACAAAAGAGCTTTTGCCACAAATATGCAAGGACGACCTACTCAGTATAGCATTCCTGTTCAGAACAAGAAACAGCCAGCCATGCCCTTCCACAGGGTATTCCATTCCATGCTGTCCTCTCACGCCCCATTTTCTTTCCAGTCACCTTCTATAGACATTCTACTGCGTTGCTTGGAAGGGCACCTTACAAAGGTTCTTTAGAACAAAGTGTATTTCTGCAAAGTTTGTGGCTTTTCCCCAAGCATGCTACTACCTCTTAACAGAAGCCCTGCTCTATCAGGCCAGTGGCCTAAATGGTCTAACATCCTGTTCTCACAGCAGCCAACTAGATGCACTGGGGTCCTGTTTTCAGGCTTCCCATAGGCTAGAGCACTCTTCTGCTGCTGTTTCAAGCAACTGATTCCCCTCTTGTTTCTCAATGGTTCCATTTCTTTTGGTATTCACCACCAGCATCCCTTGTTTGATGGACTGAACAGGTGGGGTTGAGATACAAGTAGTGAAGTTTTAGGTGGCATGTTAACTTTAAACTGATTATTGGGCTGATGCAACTGTTCTGTCCAAAACAGCACTCAACTA